TATATATATATATATTATAATTTATAACATTATATATATGTATAATTTGTGATTTAAGCGGACGAATTTGAGTGTCTTCAACGTGTTGCACTTTTTTATTTTATTTACTTACACCGTTGTAAGTATGTATTAAGTGCTACACTTTTTTTTATTTTATTCACTTACACTTGTGTATTATGTGTTAAGTGTTACATTTTTTTGTTTTATTTACTTACAAATGTGTAAGTATGTATTAAGTGTTACACTTGTTTATTTTATTGTCTTACACCGGTGTAAATATGTGTTAATGCTACATTTTTTTGTAGTATGAATTATAAAAAAAAATTGACAAATAATTGTAATTGGTTGACCTATAACCAAATCCTTAATAATGGTTAACTATTAGCGGTTAATCTTTTCTTAATGATTAAATTACGGTTAGAAAGATCTCATAACCGTTATAACGGTTAATCGACCATTTAGGCTAAACGGTATGGTTAACCGTCCATGAACAACCCTGATATTCATTGGTTTTTTCTATTGTTTTTATAACTTTAAGATTAGAATATTTGGTTCCTAAAAAATATTTTATATATATATATATATATATATATATATTTTATTAATAAAAAATATTATATTTCAGTGGATATACAAGGGAACAAAATGCCGTAAAGTGGTATTTTTAAAAGTTGTTCATTTCCATATGACACTTTTATATAACAAAATCATCTCATTACATAACATCTTAGTATGGCATCTCATCTAAAGATATCTCATAAATTTAAAGAGCCCAAAAAAAATTCTCATACCCTGGTCAGGTATCTGACTAGGGAGTTTCTTTCAATGTATGGCCAAATGCTTCTCATTTGGAGGCACCCACAGTTACGAGTATTCAAAATCAGGTACTCGTAATTTTGGGTATCTAGGAGTTCTAAGTACTAAAATATTGGTTTATGTTTCAACCTTTTAAGTCCGGATACCCGCAAGTCAATTATCTATAAAATTTGGGTACCCTTGTTTTTAGGTCACAAATATCCGATTTATATATTTTTTTATTTAAATTATATTATTTTAAAAAATTCGTAAGAAAAAAAATAAAATTTTAAACTTTATAATACAAAATACATAGTTGAAAGAAAAATTTACTAAAAGCAAAATAAAAAAATATAATTAAATTTGAAATATTTTGAAGTTAAAATAAATATTTTAAAAAATAATTTAGAATGTTACGCTGAAATTTAATTAAATTAAAAGATTAAGAATTTAAAACGTTATGGTTAAATAATTTAACAAATTTTAAATGTGTTGCTTTCTAGAATGATTTTATGCTTTCATTCTGATTTTGTACAATTTAAGACCGAACAATTAATGTTGGCCTAGCAAATGTAATTGTATATTGAAAATACCAATTTCTAAATTGTCTTACTTGATTAAGAGAGTAAATAAGCAATTCTTAACATAACGTCTTCAACACGCATTGCCTTGTATTTTTTCATATTCCTAATTTTTAGATCCAACATAAATTTTACATACAACATATTTATCTTATATGTTAAATTAATAAATAATTTAAAATTATAAAATGTTTTGAAAAATAAAATTTAAAATATTTGCAGGAAATATTCACTAATTTTTATGTGAGGTGTCATATCCATAACGTTAAAAACTAATGTTTTAAATTAAACTCTATTAAAAAATTAACGGAGAAAATATAGTTAAATTTTAATAAAAATGAGAACTAAAATAACAAAATTTGTAAATATTAAAGGTCAAAATTAAGCTTAAATGTACCATTGTTCCCCTAAAGTATACAATTTATACCGAATTATTTCTTCAAATATTTTTTTGAGACGTTTTGCCATTAAAGTTTAAATCGTTCCCCCTTACCCAAAACGTTAACTCCATTAAAAAAAACTTCGATGATCAATCAAAACATGACATGTCACCTCTTAAATATTATTTTCTTTATCTCGATTAAAAAGAATAAAATAATAATATACTTACCCCTCTTTCCCTCCCATAGTTTTCAGAACTGGACCGGTTAGCGAACCGGTCATGCTATCGGTTAACTGGTTCAACCGGTCCGACCGGTAGGAAGAACCGGACGACGTCATAATTTTTAAAAAAATTAAATAAAAATACCAAAAATATTTAATAAAAAATAATTTTGTATATCACAAGTCATATTCAAAGCAAATCATAACATATATGAGTTAAAAATCATAAAATCAAGTGAAACAAAATGATTCAAATTAACTACAACATAATATTTAAGATAAAACATATTAAATAATAAATATAATTATATAACTATAATTAAAAAATAAATTTGGGGCTAAAAAAATCATAACAAAATGATATTGTTTGGTTTAATTTTTTTTTAAAAACAATCTCACATGGCTAAGAAACATAGAAGAACTTCCCAAAAGTCTAAAGAGTAAAAATATGAGAACAAAACAATCCACATGGCTAAGAAACATAGAAGAGCATCCCAACTAACTTCTATAAATAATAGAGGTAATTTGACATTCAAAATCATGGAGCCTTTTGGTGAGCATAGAGTGAATTATTCTTTCACTTCAATCAAGCTCGAATTTTAGGCTTCAATCGAGCTTCTAATTTTTTTTTTGAGTTCAAGCCTTTTCGAGTTCAAGTTTCAATATTATATTTCGAGTTCGAGTTGAACTTGATAATTTTTAGTTCGTGAGTTTGAGTCGAATTGAGCTTACTTTTAAAGTTTGAGTCGAGCTCAGCAATACTCGAGTTCGACTTGGCTCGTTTAACAAACGACGTCGTTTGGTTTAATTTAAAAAAAAAATTGATGGTTTTCCCTGATTTTTTCCGATTTTTTTTCGGTTTTCAGCCGGTCCGGTTCGAATGGTTCAACGGTTCCGGCCGATTCACTAATAGCAGTTCAACCGATTTAATTTGAACCGGACTAGGCAACGGTTCCCGATTAAACCAGTTGAACCGGCCGTTCCGGTCCGGTTTTCAAAACAATGTTCCCTCCCCTCCACTAACAACACCATCCCTTTCCTTAACCCAACACTTCTGTTTTTCATCTTTATACTCATATAATTACTTTATAGGATCAGATGATCAAATAAAATCCAAAATCATACATGTTTATAAACTATGAATAGAGCTTGCGAGAAACAATACACCAGCGAGAGAACGAATCGTGGAGGTTCGGCCAATCGGAGGACAGGCAATACGAGAAAAGGTGAAGCTAAAGGGAAAGGACTTGCCTTTGTTCCTCGTGCAGTAGCATGTCAACCGCGTCTTCCAATATCTTTCTGTCCTCGGGTCTTTCAGTTATGCTCAGCATCGGCATGCCGGTGATGTTGCTAGTTCGGCATAGCAATGGCAACCATGATGTTAGCATCTTCAGCATTGTTTGCCTCGACCTCTCTTTGTTGCATACTTCGGCCACCTCCAATCCCATGTCCTTGGTTTGTTTAAAAAAATGATGCAAAATAAAAAATTATTTATTAATAATTATACTGATTATAGTAATTATATGTCAAAGAAGGAGAAGGAGACAATAAAGAAAGCGTTAAAGAAGATGGTTGGTTTGCCATTGAAGCAAATTATCGAATAGGTACTCGACGTTGTTGAAGGCTACGAATCTTCTTGTCAGAAACTGGCTTCCATTGCTGTTTTTCTCACCCAAAATCAAACTCGTTCCCCTTATCAGTCTTCCGATCTTGTCCGCTCCCCATCTTCTCCGTTCCATCACCAACACCCTATTTGGATTCACCATTATTTTTTGCATTCATAATCATTGATCCCATCCAAAAAACTTAGCTTTGAAATAAAAAAAGCATAGAGATGAATGAGGTATACGACATTAATGGAGTTGGAAGGAGTGATGGAGAGAGTAAAGGAAGCCGAAGAGAGATGGAGGAAAATGGAGAAAGAAAAAAAAAACAGAGGTGTTTAGGGATGACAAACATGTATAATTTTGTAGATTTCGTATCGTACCCACTTCAATTAGGTTAGAGATGGGTATAACTTTTATTGAGAAGTGAGCGGGTGTGGATTTAGAAAGTAGTACTCGTCGTGGGTAGTGGGCGGGTGATAGGTTTGAGACATTATTCGTCCTACATCCGCCCACTCAATACTCATTAAATTTTGGATAATTATAGTATAATTTTAAAGACTAATTTATAAATCATAATATTGTATGAGATATAACTTATAATTTAACCAAATATTATATATACTTTTAGAGACTAATATTATGCTTCGTAATGGACGTGTTTGTTTTATGTTTGTTACTTATGTATAAATTAAGTTGCTGTCAGACGGGTTTAATCGGATACATCTCTATTTGGGTACTAGGTGTGGAGATAGATTTAAAAATGTACCCGCGTAAATGGGTGTGAATTTGAAAAATTTTACCAATCATGAATGGTGGACGGGTGGTGAATTTAAAAATATTAGATAAGTATAGGGATAGAAAAGAAGATATCTGCACCTGACCCGTCCGTTTATCATCCCTTAAGGTTTTGGGTTAAGGGAAGGGATGACAATGTTACGATGGGGGAGGGAAAGAGGGGTAATTTTGGAATATTATTGTTTTATTCTTTTTAATTATTTTTTATTTATTCAAATAAAAAAATAAAAATTAAGGAGCAAAGTGTCATGTTTCGAGTGAACGCGAAAGTTTTTTTTTAACGGAGTTAACATCATAAGGTAAATGGAATATTAATTTAAATTTTAGAGGATAAAATATTAAAAAAATACTTTAAGAGGAACTCGATACAAATAATATAATTTAGAAGCTAATGATGTATTTAAGCCTTATTTTTATGTTAACAAAATCCTCGTAGTTCAAAATAATCATCTCATCTTCCGGCTGTGGCCCATATATTGGGCTTGATTGCAATATATAAAGCCCAAGATTTATGTTAGGCTTTAAGACAGGAATTCGGCCTTTTAAAAATTACGTACTTAGCTTATACAAAGCCTTCATCAAAACCACAAAAGTCCCAACGGAAAGTGAAAGAAAAGTTTTCAATTTTCGAAACTGGAAATTACAATAAAGCCCTTCTCTTCATCCTGATCAACAACATCCCTTCATCGAGAAAGGGAATGGCGGACTCTTCTTTCAATTGTTTCTAATCTTTTTGCTTAAAAAGGTAATCAATCATTCTTAATCAAGAGCTTTTGTTTTACTAATTAAATTGACCTCCTAAACCTTCTTCAAAATCCCTATTTCTAACAGGTTACCCACTTAATCAAGCTTTCCGAAAACCCTAAATATACACACCTAGATGATCTTGAGTATGCCTAGTTTTTTATCATTCAATTTTTTTTAGATGATTTTGATATTTCATTGGGCGATCGCTGTTGTTCTTGCAAGTTTTAATTTAATCCGGACAGGTTTGTGTTTTTTGAAAAGATCAAATGGATGTGGATTTCATTGCAAGTGGAATTTCGGACGAGGACGATATTCCATTTATTGATCAAAACAATGTAAGCTTCTAGTTTAATTATTACTACTTTGGTTATTTATTTTACTTAATCATTTATTTTTGTTTCGAATTGAATTATATATATTGTAGCTTGAAAGCTGAAAACTGTAGTCGTAGATGTCTGGGAAAAAAGTATTCAAATGCTTTCAGTGGTTTATAGTAGTTGTTTGATTTGGAGTTTGTTTGTTTTATTATTATTTTATTTTTATTTTTATGCAGGATCTTTCTAATTTCGAGGGCGGGAGATGTGGGATATGCATGGATATTATAATAGACAGGGGAGTCCTTGATTGTTGTCAACACTGGTAAATTTTTTCTAGTTATTTCTATTTTCAATTTTATCCCCTGTGGCATTTCTAGTTAGCTACCATGGTAGCTGCAAAGCCTTTCTCTTCTTTTTTCTCTAGTAGAGTAGTTAGACATTTAGTTCTCTAACTAGTTCCTTCACTTGTGGATGATAATCTCGAATCTTCTTCCTCAAGGAGTAAAGTTAAGCTGAAGAAGCAAGAGTTTTATTTTGTTTCCAGTTTTATTTTGTTTCCACTCTCTACTTTGATGGTTTTGATTAAGTGACATTTCGTTCAGATTGATTTTAAGATTCAGTTAGTTTTCTGAATTTGATGAATGTTGTTTCATGGACCGAATACAAATGTGATTATGTGGGTTCCTTTTGCAAATTTCAGGTTCTGTTTTGCATGTATTGACAACTGGGCAACAATCACAAACCTTTGCCCTCTTTGCCAGAGTGAATTTCAGTTGATCACCTGCATTCCGGTGGGTGATGCAAAATTCTTAAAGCATTGATTTTTCTCCATCTTTTTCTGTTAGTTGTTTTTGCAAAACTTATTTTTTCTCTAAATGGCCCATGTGTATGACACTTTGGCTGCTTTAACTTATTGTTGCTTTGTAATTGTTTTGAAAGTATAGACAATATAGTGATTAAAACAATGATTTATCGTGTTGATTATGAAGGTATATGATACCATTGGAAGCAATAAAGTTGAGGGTGATTCATTTTCCAGGTACTTTTCAATTCTACTTTCTTCCATCTCTTACTTTTGTTTGTCCGCAAAAAAGAAAAAAAAAATCCTAGTTTAGTTTGAGTCTTGAAATTCCATGTTGGTGTCTGTATAGTTTCTTGTTTGTTTTGAAGTCTTCAATATATTAATGAATGAATTCATCTTTCAAGGTTAACATGAAACAGCATATTACAACTATGTAGTATGTGTATTTACCGGAGGTTACCTATGGTGATTGGAAATTCATATATTATGTATAATATTGACATTCTGGATTTCAAGTAAGAAAATTTAATGATTAAGCCATTTGGAAAATGATCCTTTATGATACAATATGTACTTATTTTTATGAAGAAGTCTGCTGATTGAGTTGCTAAGATTCTTCTCTTATGTTGTTGTGATTTTGACTTCTCTCTCTTTTTGTATATGCAGAGATGATGAGTGGTCCATTGAAGGGAAGAGCAACACTCTTTCATTCCCGTCATACTACATTGATGAAAATGTAATTGTCCTACATATACCATCTTTTATTGTTTCTTCCTAATATTTGATATAGTTTTAATTTTGGCAATCTGTTAAGATGCATTTGTCAAGTGGCACAGATTGATCTTTGATGTGACAATAAGTTAAAAGATGTCAATGTGATGGCAATATTAGTTTGAATCAATTGTAGATGTACTTCGATTCTTTGTCTGGGACAACAGAAACTCCATCCAGAATATAGTGTTTTTTTTATGATGATAGAACTTATATTTAACAATTTGTTTATTCTCATATTGTCTACGGACTTGTAGTGAATGGCATTCACCATAAAAAAACTCATATGACTTTCTTTTTGTAGTCAGTTATCTGCTTGGATGGAGATGGCTGCAAAGTTCGAAGTCTATCCACCAATATTGAGGGAGATCCTGATCTCGATACATCAATTGCTTGCGACTCTTGTGATATTTGGTAAGATTGAACCTTTTATAAGATTTCAAATTTCTATTTTTCCTCGTATTTCTGTATTTTTCTTGGTTTGTAAATATTCCCTCCGTCCCACTAAATTTGAACATTTTGGATTTTGAAATTGTCCCATTCAAAATGTCCTATTAGAAAAGCCAAAAATTAGCAACATTTATATTTCTTTTTTACCCTTTATAAAATTGTCCCACCAAAACAAATTTATCAAATCTATCAATCATTTTTTTGGGTAATTTTGTCATTTCTCTTATTTTATATGACTTGGCATGTGGTCAAATGAACTTCCCATAGTTTGTTTAGTCAATATGGACAAAAATAATGGGACGGAGGGAGTAAGTTGTCATTGGGGTAAGGTTCAAATTGCCACACTAATCTGGTTGATGTATCAGATTTACGACTCATCTTTGAACCAGTCCAATTTTATCGCTTATAATCTCTAATTTGGTTAAAATTGTTCAAAAGTTTACAGTAAAAGAATATTATTTTAGAAAATATAGGAATGTGCTACAGGATATTCTAACTCTAGATCTTTTTTAACCAAGTAGAAACAACAATGGCAAAATTGTAACACTGAAAAATAAGTTTGTTTTATCACCCTAACCTTAAGTAGTGTAGTACATTTGGATCTAATCCTTTCTCATTATTTATTGCTTCGATTTTGTGTTCTGTGTTTTTCTTTTTCTTTGCTTTAGCTTCCTCTAGTTGTAGGTTAGGTAATGTTAAGTTGTGATGATGTATTGAAGTCATCTCTTAATTGTTTCTCTGTTTGGAATGGTGACAGTAGATTTGGATCTTATCCCATCATCATTACTTATTTCTTTGACTTTCGGTGTTCTCTGTTTCCTTTTACTTTGTTTGAGTTTCTTCTAGTTTGGTTAATGTTAATTTGTAAAAATGTTCTCTCTTAATTGTTTCTCAACTTGGAATGGTGACAGGTACCATGTTTTTTGTGTGGGTTTTGATACTGAAGGCACATCAGAAGACACTTGGCTGTGCCCAAGGTAGATTTGAAGAGAGTGATTAGTGTGGGTTGGTGTTGCATTTTGATTCCTCACTTCATCATGGTCCTCGAGATATCCTACATGAAAGTAGCATATAGCCAAGATGCATAGAATCTTCTGAGAGGTTAATTCATAATGTAATATATTTTTGTTGGAATTGACTATGTTGAAGCTCCTTTAATGGTTTACATTAACCGGTAGCAATCTCAATAACTCTAAGGGGGGATTGATATCTGAATTAGTTCAAAATCTTGTGCTATTTTGTTTAAAATTCATCTAAGTTTCATGTTGTAATGTGGCGTATGGTGTGTTTGACTTTAATTTCAACCTATATCAATCCATCCAGAACTTTTTAGTGCACTTTCCACTTTTCCTTCTAACATTTATGATCTTTTCTTTACTTTATTATAGATGTGTACTAAATCAATCTTCACAAAACTCTGTTGTGATTCCTGAGAAAGCAAGCACCCAGCATGATTCAGAGATTACTAATGGTGAATATGTGATGGATACCACTTTCTCTGGGAAGTTGTCTGTTTCTGTTGCGGACACTGGTGATACAGCTGTTGTTGTCTCAATGGTTGAAGGGAATCAATGGACTGAAGAGCCAAGTGAAAACCTTTTGTCAAGTCTTGAAGTCGGCAATGACCAGAAAATTGAGCTATCTAGCTCTGGAGGAAATTGTTGTGATACAGAAAAGGCATCATGTGATAAGAGCACTATTCAACCAATCTTGGAGGGGCAGGAGCTGGAGCTTTCTTTATCACGCGATTTCTTGTCCACTTTACTTTCAAATTCTTCAGTGTTCGGTGAGTTCAAGACAAGTAAAGCTTCAGATACAATAAAAGAAGCAAGCAGGTTAGATGGTGTTGGAAATACCTCTGGAAAGTCACTGAACAAATCCTACATGAGGAACCAATTATCTGAAACCAAATCCAGCGTCGGCCTTAATATTGGTTTATCAATAGGCTCGTTGCAGTCTTGTAAGTTAACTATGTAGCTATCTTTATCTTTTAAAATTCATAGCAGGGCCATTACAGCGTAGGAATCAAGTTTGTATCTTATACACATTTCAACATCTCAACATTGTGCTTACAGTTGATGATGATGCGAAAAGCAGTGGAAGCAAAGCCCAGGTGAATTTAGAGTTTGGGCATCAGAGTCACGTGGCAGAACTGTCGCCAATAGGTAATATGAAAGTTATCTTGATACATTTTCTCTTATTTTAGTATTTACCTTACAGGTAGTTATGCAAGATGCTTTTAAGCTATTTATGTAATACACATTTAAACATCTCAACATTGTGCTTACAGTTGATGCTAATATCAAAAGCAGTGGAAGCAAAGACCAGGTGAATTTAGAGTTCGAGCATCAGAGTCACATGGAAGAACTGTCGCCAATAGGTAATATGAAAGTTATCTTGATGCATTCTTCCTGCCTTGATACATTTCTCTCTTATTCTAGTATTTACCTTACAGGTAGGTATGCAAGATACTTTTAAGCGATTTATGTAAGTATAATGCAAACTGCCTTCTTGTCTGCTTTCAGATGAGAAAACTGAGCTTGATGACAAGGAAAATGCTGGCACTGTTACTGGTTTAAAGAGGAAGAATCCATATTTCAGGTTGCTTCTTTTTCAATATGTCCATTGTTTTCACACTCATGCGTACTCGCATACGTGCATACATATATACTCACACATACATTCATGTATATCATGTGTCTTTTGACAAGTAATATTTCTATATATGTTGTTTAGAACTAGTTATATTTTACCTATGTCACTACTTGTTGGCTATATATTCCTTTTGCTTTCGTCTTTTAGGGACTGTGTGGGAGGGAAATATTTCTTATGGGCAAATATTACTTCTGTTTATGTAGCTTAAATTTTGTGACTTCTTACCTATGCTGCTAGTTTTTAGTTCTCATCTATATTTTCTAGGGGCGGTGGGTGTGGGTGGGGAAGTTTCGCTGTTTGTTTGTTCTTACGGTATATACTTTTCTAATTTATTTTCCCGTTTTAAAAATTTGCATTCTTAACTTTGTGCTTAACATTCATGACTTATGCTTCCTGATTCTTGATATGCATTAGGAGTGATGTTATAAGTTCTGACGGTGAGGAAACCAAATGCAAGAATGAGAGTGAAACTTTGGAGAAGAAAATTAGGGTTAAGAAATTGGTTCATATGGCCCTGAGAGCAAAGTTGATACATCTGTATCCGATGATACACCTAAATGCCCCACCCTGAAAGCAGTTTCCAGAGAATGCAAGATCAAAAATCATCCAGAAAAGAAGGATTCCATTCCTGATGTAATGAGTATTGTTCAGGGGACAAGCCGGAGAACTACCAAGGGGCTTGGACGTCGAGATCCTACTGACAAATCCCTGAAAGGAGGACATTTGGTTGGCTTGAGGGTAAAAAAAATCATGAGAGCCTCTGACGATAAGGAGGCATCTGCTGTTGTGCAAAAATTAAGAAAAGAAATTAGAGAGGCTGTTCATAACAAATCCACTAAAGAAATTGGAGAAAACCTTTTTGACCCACAACTTCTTGCTGCTTTCCGAGCTGCTATAACGGTACCAAAAACTGAAACTGTAAAAAAGTTGTCACCTTCAGCTATTAAGATGAAGAAATCCTTGTTGCAGAAGGGTAAAGTACGTGAGAATTTAACAAAGAAAATCTATGTGGATTCTAATGGAAGGCGGAAGAGAGAATGGGATCGAGACTGTGAAGTTGAATTTTGGAAGTATCGCTGCATGGGAGCATCAAAGCCTGAAAAGATTGAGACTTTGAAGTCGGTTCTTGACCTCCTAAGAAAGAATAAAGAAGGCTCAGAGAGTTTGTCAAAATCTGAATGCCAGGCATCCAACCCAATTCTTTCCAGATTGTATTTAGCAGATACATCTGTTTTCCCACGAAAGGATGACATAAGGCCCTTATCTGCACTTAAAGCCACTGGTAGTTCTGAACAGAGCAGAGAACAAGGAAAACCTCATATACCATCTCTTGACCATACTGTAAAAAGCACAGAAGCAAACAAGGTTTCATCAAAGGTTGGTGTTCTGTCAACTGATATTAAACGAACTAAGACAGATGTTTCGAACTCAAAAGGTACTGTTACTTCTAGTAAACTTGATTCCAGTAATGGTTCAGAAGGTTCTTCAATAAGGAATTCTAAAGTTGAATTGCACAAGGAAGTGTCTGCGAAGTCTGATGATGTAAAGGTCGATAAAAGAAAATTGGCCCTGGCAGTGCTTGCAAGGAAAAAGGCTGCAGAGAGCAAAAGTGGAGCACAGGAAGGACAGGAGGATAATGCAGCACTTGAGGGAAACTATCCCTTACTAGTATGTGGAAACAAAATTTTTATTTAACAGTTCTCAGCGGACTGTGCTTTTTTTAAACCGAAGGTTTATGCTGTAAAACAACTCATTGTTCCTTTTTCCCTTTCTAATTGCTTGATCAGGCTCAGCTACCAGCAGACATGAGGCCATCACCGGCACCCAGTCGGCATAATAAAATCCCAATATCTGTTAGGCAGGTAGGTAGTGCCCTGCATTGCATCTTTCTTTTCTTACAATCATGCTTGAATATCCTGTTTTTAGTGTTATTTTACTCTTTTAATCGTTGGATACAAAAATTAGAGAGGTGTAGCTGGAGGGGGATAATTATGAATCATTTATTTGTGCAGGCACAGCTTTACCGCCTTACTGAGCACTTCCTAAGAAAAGCAAATCTGCCGATCATTCGTAGAACTGCAGAAACAGAGTTGGCTGTTGCTGATGCAATTAACATTGAAAGAGAGGTTGCTGATAGGTCAAACAGCAAAGTAGTATATCTGAACTTGTGCTCCCAGGAGATATTGCATCGTTCAAATGATAATAGGAGTGTTAGAGCTAAAGAATCAGATACTTCATCTCCTTCAGAAATAAGGGAAGACCAAGGTTCTGATGCATGTTTGACAGACCCTGTGGTTGTGGAAACACTTAGAAATGCAGGCCTTTTGTCTGATTCCCCTCCAACTAGTCCACTTCATAAAACTGAGGTCCCCAATGAGGTAGATGATCTTTCAGCGAAAACCGTGGAAGAGGAGCCCGATATATTTGAGATGGATTCTCATTTGGAGGAAGATATTTATGGTGATTTTGAGTATGATCTAGAGGATGAAGATTATATTGGTGTTACTGCTGAAAAGGCTCTGAAGGTGCAACCCGAAGAAGGTGCTTCAAAAATGAAAGTAGTCTTCTCAACTGTTAGCAATGAGAGATCAAAAACAAATAACCTTGAAGATGCAGAGGACCATGAGAAGCTGGGGAACATTGTAGTACCTGATGATTGTACCTGTTTGCCGAAGAATAACAATGACAATGGTATTGATAAGTCTTCCACTGTTCTTGAATCCTTACCTGATGAGGCAGGTGAAGAGCTTTCCATTGCAGAATGTGAAGAATTATATGGCCCAGATAAAGAGCCGCTAGTAAACAAATTTCCGGAAGCTACCCAAAGGATACATGGGCTGGTTGATGCAGAACTTCCTGCTGAGAACACAGCTAACAAAGATAATGGAAAACATGCATTGCATCATATTGTAAATGCATCTGAACCAGGAAATGAAAGCAAGGAAGAAGATAAAATCAACACTCATGGTCGTGGCTCGTCTGGTAGAGAAAGTTCTGCTGAACAAATTCAAACCGGTGACAATGTTAAAAAGAAAGATAAGAAATCCAATATGGAGATGGAGAAGCAGTTTGAATGTGCGAATTCTGTATCAAAGAAGGTAATATGTAGCATATCTGTTAGTTTCTCTTCTTCCCCAATGCATGCAATATAAATTTCTTGGTTACTATAATATCAACTTCTCCAAACACAAGGTGATGGATGATTTTTTTAGAAGGGTTTGCTTTTTCATGTTTGCATTCTGATGCTCATACTTATGCTTTGCAGGTGGAGGCATATATCAAAGAACATATCCGACCACTCTGTAAGAGCGGTGTGATAACGGCAGAACAGTACAGGTGGGCCGTGGCAAAAACCACCGATAAGGTTATGAAATACCACTTAAATGCCAAGAATGCCAATTTCTTAGTTAAGGAAGGTGACAAGGTAAAAAACTTGCTGAGCAATATGTTGAGGCAGCGCAACAAAAGGAAAAACCGAACCTTCGTGAAGACTTCCATTTCCACACTTTCATCACCTCTAGCATATTTCTCTTAGAGCCGCCAACACCCCTCCTCTCCGTCTTTGGTGTGGACGGCTTCCGTGTGCCTTGAGGGAGACAGTCCTACAGAAAAAGTTGCACATGCATTGTTAAATCGAGTATTCGATGTAAAGAAACTTGATTACTAGGCCTGCCTTGAATGTCTATTTGCGCTCATAACTATAGCTCTCTAGATTTATGCCGAGGAAGTTATGTTAGGCCAAGGCAAGTTGTTGAGAAATTGTAAATTTGTTGCCGAGATCTTCATCGTGTGCTAAACGTACGTTATCATAGCATGGATGGGGTTTCTCTCTTGCTCATTTTTTTCATTTTTAAAAATGTAACACTAAGAGAGCTGCATTTGACAATTTAACTAATGATTTGGACCGTGCGTTTGATTATATGCATTTGAATTTCATGTCATATAAATTGTTACATAGATATGCATGCAAATTAAAAAAGATAAGATTAAGGGGCTGTTTGTTTATTTTAAAATGATTAAGCACTGAATGATTCAGATGTTCTTTATGAATTAGTTCTGAATGTGACATGTTGTTTGATAATGGCTCTTAATCATTCAGAATGTACTTTTGTGCTGAATCATTCAACAATGTTTTGCTGAATCAATCAGCACTGAAACTTATTAAGAGATGTTTGTTTTGAAATATGTGTGAACAATCTCTTGATTTTTGAAATCTTTACAACTTCAGTATTAGTTTTTTTAGAGACTTTCGACTTTATTTGTGCAAAAGTCATTCCAACTTCTGGAGATTGAGAAAGAGACTTGATCTATTTTTTTGACTTAGCATGACATCTCATTTGGATTTTGAACACCTTGGAGTGATATATCAGTTGAAGATTTTGATGAAGATGTTTTTCATTTGTTTCTTTTAAAAAAATTTGGACAATGATTTAATTAGTTTTGTCGAAATTGGATTTTTTAATGGTGCGCAAATATTTTTTGTTTTTCGATCTCCTACAAAATGATATTCTACTATCAATATTACTGAATTATCACAATTACTAGGGATATTAAATCTACATCACGCCTAACCCATAGTTTAAACCAGAACTTAAAAACCTTTTTGAAAATAAAATAATGTTTGAAAATCTTAAAATTATTTGTCCTACATATAGTTGAATCAGATACTTCAAAAATAGAATATGGTGGAATTTTAAAACAATTAAAAATGAAAAAAAGAAGAAATAATGCAGTTCACATCTAGACATTAAAATCCAACTCAACAAAATTATAACAATATTAAAAATAAATAATCAATAGTATTATTAAAAAGGAATTATCAAAAGTTTAATGTATTATAAAATTTCAAAGCTATTTATTAAATCAAAAAAATTTATTTTACGAATGGATGGCAAATCAACAAAAAAAGGTTTTATAAAAATGTTCAAATATTACTTCCAAACAAATTTTGTAAGACGGTAAGCTATTTTAAGCATACTTGATTTTGAGATCAAATATATTAATGGAGAATTTAATTCTTTATCCGATCACCTCACCGGAGAATTCCTACAAAAAGTCTCCAAATTGAATTATAAAAGAAAGGAAAAATGTAAGGAGCAACATCAAAAAATGTAATTTCAGCAAAACTAATTAAATTTTGGTTTGAAAATTTTCAAAAAGAAGAAAATTAAGAAATATCTTTATCAAAATCTTCAGTTGGTGCATCACTTTAATACGTTGGCTCTGATATCAAATAGTCTTGTGGATCTGAGGATCATGTATTGAAATTTGTGGTTTTGATTTAATAAAATTTATTTTGATTTAAATAAATAAAATTTTTAATAAAACTAAAATAAAAAAATTGAGAATTTAAATTCATAGAAAATTTTATCCTTTGAATGAGGAAATGAGGTTGTGCCTTACAACATAAAATCATAAAGAGCTCATTTGTGGTTTTATATCATAGCTTTATTATAACTTCACTATTCCTTCTTGATTTAGTGTGACATGAACAATAATGTTTTGCTTGAATTCTTTGAACCATCATGGCTTACTATTTCTCCTTGTTTTAGTGTAGCGGGAACATACTTTGCTTGAATTCTTTGAACCATTATAGCTTACTATTTCTCCTTATTTTGGTGTAGCAGGAACAACGACGCTTTCTTTGTAAAGGACCTTACATGTTTTTTCATATTTTTTTTTTATTTTTTCCGTTTGATCTTGATTATTACGAAGATCATAGTGTCCTCTATGAGATTCACTATTTTGATTGATGATATTTGTGAGTCTTCCTTTTCATTTTTTGGTTCAGATTTAGAACTAATTGAACTTAGCACTTATGTGATCAATTTCTTGTATTCTTTCTTGCTTGAGCTAATATTGTACTAGTATTCGATTTTATTTGTAAACTTTTTTCTATATTTGAAGAGACTGATTTATATATACTTGAATTTTCAAAAAAGAAATTATCCGAATATTTAGAGCCATATTTTTTCATCATTGAATTTGCCCCACCATTTAGTCTTGAAAACTCAGACCAAGTATGAAATCCTTATATAGCCACCACGTTTCATATTTATGATCACCATTTTTAGGATTCAATCATTATTTTATTATTTTATTATATTATTATCATCAAAAAAATACATCAGACCCAAAATAATTAGAAAACCCCAAAAAATATAACAGACCCAACTGGCCCAGAACCCACGCAGAAACCCTAATCTCTTCAGCTACTCTTACCGTCGCCACGCGTTCACGCGTGATTGCTAGGTGCCCACGCGCCCCAACGCGACCCTTCGTTTCCCACGCACCCGAGCCCTCTCGTGTTCTCGAGGTCTATCACCGCCGCCGCGAGTTATGCTAGTCACTAGAAACGACTAAAAGAGCCTGGGGGTAAAACTTTTTTTTACCCCTCTGCCACCCACGTCACCGTCGCAGCCCTTCCCTCATCGGCCATACTACTTAAAGCTGAAACAAACAACAAAAACAAAAGAAAATCATAAAAGATTTTTTTCCATTTTCAAAGGGAGGGATTCTATAAAATCTCCTCCCAAAGATGTAATCTTTCAGTTCAAAATCAATACAAAATGAAAAATATAGTTCATTTCAAGGTACCATTTCCTTTTTCCCCCTTTTTCCTTGCTGTTTTTTAAAAAAGCATAAAAAAGTCGATTTCTCTCTTACATGAGATGCTTGGGTTGTCTTCGTGCACCCACTACGTCCGAAAAAAGGTTTTATCGCTGAGGACCGACAGGGGAGATGCTATTCGATCTTGCATACTTGAAATGTTTTTGGGTTTAAAAGTGTTTTTAGGGTTTATTTTGGGCCAAATGGCTGCTGGGTGAGGAAAACAAAGGAAAATAGAGTGTTTTAGGGTATTTAGGCTATCGTTTAGCCTCCCCGGCCACCATTGGTGGGCAAAGCTCGCCGGAGCATGGTGAAATGTGAGGCCGAGGGAGATTTCAGTGAGAAAATTAAGAGAGAGGCTCTCTCCTCAGACAGCTAGGTAAAAGTAAAAATGGATTAGGTTTAGGTTAATTAGGGATTAAGGTTGTTTTATATAAAGGAAAATGGGAAATTTTATGTTTACTCCCCGAAAGTCTCGTGCATTTTTACAAGTTGGTCACTTGCGAGGGCCAAATTTCATATTTACCCTTTTCCAATTGCATTAATCTTGTTATTTTCCCATTTTTTGTGCTTTATAATTTTGGATTAATTTCATTTATGCCCTCCCACTTTAAACGTGTTTTTACACTTTGGTTATATGTAAGGACCTTCTTTGTATTTTACCTTTTTACTTTAGCCTTATTTTGTAATTTCCCATTTTTTAAGACCATACTATAATTATTTTTGTTATTCACTCTTTAATCCTTCTAAATTTCGCACATTTTTACATTATAGTCCCTATTTCTTTTTTAAAATATTTTCATCTTAATTCATATTTTTATTTATTAGATTTCTTTTTTTAACAAAATTTTTATTATTTTACTTTTATATTATTTAACCCTAAGATTTTAATTTGTTTTGTTATATATATATTTTTTAAAAAAACTCTTATTTTATCATTATAATTAATTAATTAATTTATTTATTTCTTTTTATTTATTTATTTTCCTATTTAACTTTTGCCCATTCGATTATTTTTCCTTTTTTGTGTTCTACATGTATTGCTATTTATTATCTTTCGTTTAATTAATTATTTGTTTTTGGCATGTTCTCTTTTATGTTTGTATCATTTTTTTTATGTTATGCTTTTATTATCCGTTTTATTTATTATCTATTTTGGTTAGTTAATGAGATGACTATCCAGCTCAGTTGGTAGAGCACAAGGTTCTTAACCTTGAGGTCGTGGGATCGAGTCTCACGGAGGGCATTTTATAATTCGGAGGTCTTCTACGGAAGCTGCTCTCAACCTGGTGTTGGGGGCAGCCTACTATCTTACCTCCCCTTACCTCATTATATATGGGAACAAGGGACAACCATTTTTTATTTTGGTTAGTTAATGGTTTTAAATTTTCTACTTGTTATCTGTGTTTGCATCTTTATGTAGTTAATTTTATATTGTTTTAGATGAGGATTCACCCTTTAGATAAATAGTTCACTTTAAAAATAAATTATGTGGTTAGATGTCTAGGTTTTCAGCTAATTATCAAAGAGCAATTTGATTCGAATTTTTACTTCAATGCCCGATTATTCGAGTTATTTGTTCAAATCAAATAATTGGTTACTTATTGATTAATTTTAAAGCCCACTTAGGATTAGTTCTTTAATTTTCAGTAATTAAATAGGTTATTAGAGCCTTAATTTGTTAGATTAGTGCCTAGACTTTAGAATTTTCACCATTTAGTCCTTGAACTAATAATTGAATTAAAATATGATCTAATTAGGATACTTAGAACCTACATTTAGTTTCATATTTAGTATCGTAATACTAGAGGGTGACTTGGTTTGGATTATCACATGAAAATGCCTGATTATTTGAATCAATCATCCATTTAAAAATTGATTAATAAAATAATAGGATAATTATTAAGAACTTCAGCTTCGGTTAATCACTTAGGTTCTTTAATTACATAATTTGAAAACTTTAGATAGGAAATCCCTTGATTTACTCATATACTAAAATTAGGTTTTCTTAAATCGATTGTTTAATTGCATTTTAAAAAAAACAAGGCAATGTTCATTCATTTAGGCTATCAATGGTATATTTCCTGCTATTATGCTCAGGGAACGACTACTAGTGATTCTCGTAATGAGCCGACATCCTTTTCAAAAGCCAAGTTATGTTTCCAAAATTCCAAGGCAATGTTTGATTATTGGGCATAATAATTGATCTCCAGCGTTCATACTAGGGGCAAATATTATTGGCTTAAATAAACAAACATCCTTTTCAAAATAAGCATCCATAATGAT